TACATTACAATTAATAACTAGCAAAATTACAGTTATGGAGTAGCAACAAAAATAATTTGATGGTTGGGGGTCACCACAACATGGGGAACTGTATTAAAGGGTTGCAGCCTTAGGAAGGTTGAGAACCACTGATCTACTTTACTCATTGCAATGTAAACTAAAAGTTGAGTGGGATGTCTCCTGTTCAGTTCTCTGCAGTGCAAAGGGACACAGGAGTCCGATTCATGAAAACAGGGAAGTGGGTGTCTCCAATAGGAGAAGGAAAGTTACCTGCTGAAAGCTTGTAGACCAGTTCCTTACAAATAGTCCTAGGTGCTCACTATCTGGGTATCATCCAATGAGTCATCTGTTACAAAATGAGACCAAAACACTGGCAGAGCAGGTGAACATGGCACTGTATCAACATGTTGGGTCAGTGTCCTGAGCTTGTCTCAATATACCATGGTCTGTTAACATCTGACCTGTGAGGCGAGCCACTCCTTCCAGCTCAGGACAAGTTCAGTGAATTTGTGTTGGGTCCAAAGTGATGAGTGGGAACTAGCTAAATTTACACACTTGGTTATGATTGGTTTTTAGCATCTTCAAGAAGGTAAACGGCATTTGAATACTAAAGTAAATATGCAAATGAAAAAACCCTATGAAATTATGTGGCAAGATAGTTTTTACTTGGTTTTAGGGAAGAGGAAACATCAAATTTGTTGTTGCACTTATTTATGCATTCATTGGTTACAGCTTGTGTGCGCCCGGTGTATGGGCTGATGCTCTAACCAGCTGAGTTCCCCAGCCGGGGCCAAGGCAAGATAATGTTAGGTTAGGTCTTGGAGAAACCAGGGGAATTACTGTAGCTGGAAGGACATTTAGGAAGGAATTTGGGGACATTCTCTTAATTTTTTTTTTTTAAATATATTGATTTTAGAGAGGAAGGGAGAGGGGGAGAGAGAGAGAGAAACATCAATGATGAGAATCAATCATTGATTGTTTGCCTCTTGCATGCCCCCTCCTGGGGATCAAGCCCACAACCCAGGCATGTGCCCTTGGCCAGAATCGAACCTGGGACCCTTCAGTCCGCAGGCTGACGCTCTATCCACTGAGCCAAACCAGCTAGGGCAAGTTGGGTTCTTTTAAGCAAATTGGGAGAATCTCACTTTGCTAATAGAATTGGGTGAGCACTTGAACAATACCCAATTCTTGACAGCCTACAAACAGGAAATTCAAATATGCAAATTTAGGGCTGCTGGATGTCGAGAATGTAAAGGTATAAAGGTGCTTGGACTGAAATTTAATTCTTAACCCTATAAGATGGGTACCATCATATACCCCGTTTTATAGGTGAGAAACTTGCCAAGATCACAGTAAATTGAGATGGAAGATGTGCCCGGATAGGCTGTATCCAGGGCCTTGCTCTTTTAATTCCCGTGCTCTAAATGTGAGATAAATTAGTTTATTTTGGGGCGGGGGTTGCCAGAAGTTAAGAGCCTTGACAGTAGTAACAACTGATGGAAAAAGACGAAATGTAGACATCACAGGAAAACCCCTCTGCATTTGAAAACGAGGTATGAACTGACCGTTAGATTTGGCAACGCGGAGGTGATTGGTGATCTTGATAACAGTTTTGGTGACAATAGAGAACGAGTGTGACGAGGGGATTCGAGAGCGACTGGGGCTTTGACTTAAAATGATCACATTTCACATCGTCAATAAGGAGACAGACAGGCTGTGAGCCTCCTAATGTAAAACACGGGGGGCCCGACACGACCCCAACGTTTCACCTGCATAGAATCGCGAGGATGGCAGCCAGAGAAATCCACAGTGCACACCAGTCTGCAAACAGCTTCACAGAAGGAAACGGGCAGGGGAAGCCTCAGGACTGGTGGCTGCCAGCTGAGCCCGGCCCGGCCCGGCCCCCGAGAGGCACTGCCGGTCCCGGGACCTGGGGGTGCGAAAGGCCGCCCCTGCCAGCCGTCCCCGGGAGCGGCCCGGCGGGGGAGGGGGGGCTCTCAGGCCTCGAGAACTGAACGTTCAGGGTCTCCCCCACCCCCGCCCCTCGCACCCACATCCTCGATCTTAGATTCCGGAGCCCACCCCTTCCCTCCCCGCCAGCCTCAGGCGGCGCGGCCCTGCGCCACCACCAGGGTCCCCGCGGGCGGACGCGGCACCCCACTCAGACCACGCCCCTCGGACCCCGCCGCGCCCCCGCTCCCCAGGCTGCTGCGGGGTGGGGGCCCGGGGGGGCCGGGGGGAGGTTACCACCTCGCGATCTCGCCACATTTCCCGGCTTCCCGACGCGCCCCCGCCGTCCCCGCCCGGCCCCACGGGGCGGCTTGTTCCCGAGACCGCAGCCTCGCGGCGGGCAGGGCCCCTGCACGCTGTCCCCGCATCTCCGGGCCCGCAGGGTTTGGGGTCCTTTCCTGGGTGGGGGACGCCGGCCCGCAGGGCCCCAGCTCCGGGCCTCTGTCCCGCACGTGGCCGCCCGGGGACGCGCGAGCCGAAGCTGAACCTGACGCCGCCTCCGCGCACCCGGTGGCGGGACCCCACGTGGCCCCGTGAAAACAAAGCTGGCGGGTGCTCCGCCGCCGCGCCTCCCGAGGAGGAGGGTGCAGATGTCATGTTTACGAACGGAGGCCCGTGCGCGGTAACCACTGCGCCATGCTGGCCGCGCTCTCGGGGCGCAGCCGTTCCCGCTCAGCGATGCCCGCAATCTGCCTTCCGCAGCCCCGTCCCTTGTGCCCCGAGCGGGTGGGCATCAGCTTTAACCCACCTGGACCTGGCTGTGCGGGTCAGGAAGCCGAGGCCTTCGGGGGACAGTCACTGCGCCCCTCACCGCCCCCAGTCCTCCAGGTTATAGGATGGGAGGAGGGATGACCCCGCGGGCCCTAGGACCCCTGGGGGGACACTCAGGAGAGGGGGGCCAGCGCTGAGGGAAGGGGCTGGAGGGCCCGGGTCACGACTAGAGGGTCCGATTTTACTTAAGAACCAGTCCTGCCTGCAGGGTGGTTCCAAAGAGATCCATGATGAGGTCACAAAAAGGCCTGAAGGGCTGCCCCGGGGATAGGGGGGTCCTCAGAGCTGGAGGAGCCGGGTCTTGGGGACACACAGAGGAAAGGGTGTTCACATGGCTGACAGCAGCCCTGGGTGGGGGGCTGTCTCCTAAAGGCGCTTCAAGGCCTTTCTCAGCTTCTCCCATTGAGGGGGGAGCAGGCTGGGGAGGATCCCAGGACAGACACCCAGGCCTCTGCACCACCCCAGCCCTCCCCAGTTCACCGAACCCCGTCATAAATCCGAGAGCTGGCACTGAGTCCAGGAGCAAATCCGGGGCACAGTCCTCAGCTGAGGGGGGCGCACCCAGAGAGGACAGCACTTCCACACTTGGAGATTTCAGCTGGGCTCTACCTGGGGCCGCCCCAGAGCCCCCCTCCCTTCCACTGGCGGGGGTGGGGGTGAGGGGGCTGTCACTCCCAAAGCCTACCAGCTCTCCCACTTGGGAAATAAAGAACAACCTCTTTCAGCCCTTGGCAGTCCCCTCCTCTGTCTCTTGCTTCAGCCGTGTTTGGACAGAACACACCTAGAGACGCCCCCTCTTCCCCCTCAGACCACCTCCAACCTCTTTCCTGTCACCACCTTCAGTACCATTCCAGATCAGCCAACACCATTCCAGACCAGCCAACACCCTTCGAGACCAGCCAAGACCATCCCAGACCAGCCAACACCATCCCAGACCAGCCAACACCATTCCAGACCCGCCAACACCATTCCAGACCGGCCAACACCATTCCAGACCGGCCAACACCATTCCAGACCGGCCAACACCATCCCAGACCAGCCAACACCATCCCAGACCAGCCAACGCCATCCCAGACCAGCCAACGCCATTCCAGACCAGCCAACGCCCTTCCAGACCGGCCAACACCCTTCCAGACCGGCCAACACCCTTCCAGACCAACCAACACCATTCCAGACCAGCCAACACCATTTTTTGAGCTCATCTCCTTATTGCCGAGCAACCATGAGCTCCCAAATTCCTCACTTCGCCCAGCCAGGTGGAGGCCCCAGCAACCACGTGTCCCCCTGCGTCCTCGGGCGCCCTCACCTACCTCTCTCTGGGCGTCTGCTTCCACCTCCACGTGGGGCTCTGGTGGGCGAGGGCCACTCCTTCCCCGAGTCCCCAGAGGAGGAGCTGCGGGCGCCCAGCGTCTCTTGAAGAGGAAAACCAGGGGACGGCCGTGCCCTCCTCCAGGCCCTGCAGGGCCTTCCCACAGCGAATGGGGCAGCACGCCGGCCGCCATGGGAGCCGCCATGGGCGCCGCCAGGGCCCTGGGAAGAGCCTGACCCAGGCCCCGAGGGTCTGCAGGCCGACTTCCGGGAGAACCACTTCCTGGGCGAGGAGGTGAAGCTCATCAGGAAGATGGGCCACACCTGACCCCCCTCCCGCTGCCGCCCCCAGGCCGGGCCAGGCCAGTATCTCTTCCAAAGGCTCAACCTCAAGCGCAACTTGGAGGCCAGAGGCCTTTGAGGGGTCCCTGTGCACCCCCCTGGGTGTCTCCCTTCTGCCTGAGCCGCTCTCTGCAACCACTAGGCAGCCTTCTAATCACTCCCGAGCCCCGGCCCCATGACTTGGAGCAAATGCAACAATAAAGCTTTTTGCAGCCAAACAAAAAGAGGAAAGTAACAACCGCTTAGCTCCAAATTTCCTGGGACCCTGGGACTTAATGTTGAAAACGGTTGACAGTTTAGAGGAGATTATTTGGCTTCACGTTCGGGGTGAACAGATGTTTTTGAATATCTTCTTCTCCGTGTGCCAAGCGCCATGCGAAGCCCACAGTCTCCTATCGTCAGCGGCCCTGAGGAATGGGTATCGGTTTCCCTGCCGAAGCAATCCGGCACTGAGCTTGCGGCAATGAAACGGCAGGCACCGATCACACAGCCCGAAGGGACAGAGGCAGGATCGTAAGACAGCCCTTGACTTCAATCGTGGTGGAGTGAATTTCCATCATTAAGAAGCGGTGCTCGCGTCGGAGGCACTTATACTAACGTTGGAACGATACAGAGAAGGTGAGCATGGCCCCTGTGCAAGGCTGACACGCAAATGCGTGAGGCGTTCCCTATATCTTTTTAAAATCCAGAGGGGGGGAAAAAAGGAAAAATAAATGTATGAAGTGCCTGGCTGGTGTGGCTCAGTGGTTGAGCGTCAACCTATGAACCAGGAGGTCACAGTTCGATTCCCGGTCAGGGCCCATGCCCGGGTAGCAAGCTGGATCCCCAGTCGGGGTTGTGCAGGAGGCAGCCAGGCAGTGATTGGTGACTCTTCTGAAATCTGCCCGTGGCCCGGGTTCTAAATCCATAAAGCGGCTCTTCCTGGGCTCCTGGGAGAGGCAACACTGTCTTTTTTTACTTCCTGGAGAACAGCTAGAGCAAGCACTGCTTCTAGAAACTATTCAGTCAGCTCATCTGGGCAGAGGCCTGCCGGAGACAGCGGGGAGGGCTCCTGTGTGCGGAGAGCTGACTGACAGGACTTCTGGAAGCTCAACCTGGGCCCGCCTACCTCCACCCACGCCACCACCACGCATGCAAACCCAGAGGTGAGTGACCTGCAGCTGGAGTCCGTGCAAGACACAGGAACACAGAGAAAGGAGGTGATGGCACCTCCTAGAAAAGCAGTTTCATTCCCAAGAGCCTTCTAGGCAGCCAAACCCCACGCTTGTCCACTTCCCTCATCACGCTCTGGAGGTCACGAGCCTTGAGACCTGGCTACGTCACCGTGTCACCCTCAGACACTGACACAAACACTTGCTCACAACCCCAGAAAGACACTTCTAAGAAGGCTTTCCAGTGCCCCAGCATGGCTGAGCTGGCTGGGAAAAAAAACACGGTTTCAGGGCTTGGGGTCAGGGAGCCAAGTGTGGGGACTCCAGTTCCCCGTGACCTTGAGCATTGACCTTGAGCATTGACAGTTCTTTGCAGCCTGGCGAGGGCCAGGGTGGAGAGCAGGTGGGCCCCGCCTGGACATGGAAGGATGGATGACAAAGGCAGCAGGGGAAGGGGAGGGCTCCTGGCCAGGTGCCTCCCCTCCTACAAAACAGTCCCTTGTCAGTCTGGCCTCCACCCAACGTTGCCTCACTTCCTTTCGCTCCCCTGCCCGCCCTCCCCAAGTCCCGCGCCAGCCACACCAGACTCCCCCCTGCCCCCCCCCCCCCCCCGAACATCTGCGTAACTTCCTCTACTCGTCCTGGAATGTTCTGCCCCATCTCTGCTCCCTGGAATCCTACCCAGCCTCCAGGCCCATCTCAAACACCACGGCATCCATAAAGGCTCGCAGACCCCTCCCACAGCGTATCACCTGCGAACGGACGTCTAGGATGGTTCCTCTCACCCCAACAGGCTCCTGCAAGTGACACTGTCCAGCCTACAGTCCCCTCTGAAGGGGCAGCTCCAAGGACACCCTGAGGCCCACTCCCTCCCCCAGCACAGCTGATGGGCCCTAAATGGCCAATCTGTTGCCTGACAGGGGCCGATGGAGCGGGGTCTGGTGTGCAAGGGTGAGCTGAAACTACCAACACTCCCTCTCTAGATTGGCGCTATCCGAATGAAATTTTTTTTAATATATATTTTATTGATATTTTACAGAGAGGAAGGGAGAGAGATAGAGAGTTACAAACATCGATGAGATCAGCTGCCTCCTGCATACCTCCCACTGGGGATGTGCCCGCAATCAGGGTACATGCCCTTGACCGGAATCGAACCTGGGACCTTTCAGTCCCCAGGCCGACGCTCTATCCACTGAGCCAGGCCAGCTAGGGCTCCACAAGAAATTTAACATGAAAGCACATGCAGAATTTTAAATTTCCCAGTTGCCATTTTAAAATTTTGATTGATTGATTGGAGAGAGAGAGGGAGGAGAGAGAGAAGCATCAATTTGTTGTTCCACCCATCCATTCACTGGTTTCTTTCCGTATGTGCCCTGACCACAGATTGAACCAAGACCTTGGCGAATCAGGAGGACGCTCCCCCCAAGTGAGCATCCCACCAGGGCTCCCCGTGGCCATTTGTAAGAAAGTAAAAGAGAAAACAGGTAAAATTAATTTTAATACCATTTTTATTAACCCAAACAGAGCCAAATAGTGCCACTTAAACATGTAATCAATATAAAAATTATTAATGAGACATCTTGCTTTTTTTTTTTTTGGTACCAAATCCTTGAAATCCAGTGAATATTTGACAGCATATCTCCAATTGGACACCACATTTTTATTGGGAATTCTTGATCTGTTTTTAGATTTGATCATCTTGACAGTCGAAAAAGGAGATTTACATAACCAGGTTGTTCCAAACATTCTTGAATTATTTTCAATAACTGAATCAAACAGCAGTTGTGCTTTTTAAAATTTATATTAATTAAAACGTAGTTCTTCCGTTGCACAATTTCTGCTAGTTACAAGGCCTTAGTAGCCCCAGTGGCTAAGTGGCTGCTGCCCAGGACAGCACAGGGCTGGAGAGTGTCAGAAAATTGTGCATCTAAACACCAGCAAGCCTGTGCAGACAACTTCCCACGTTCACCTCCAGACAGCACGCATCCTTTGCTCTGCAGACCTGCCTAACAAGTACCTGTCAGATTGAGGCGCCTCACACCTAACCTGTGCAAAACTGTGCCCCGAGGGGCTCACCCCCGCCCCCCAAACCAGCCAGGCCAGCTGTCCCCATCTCGGTGAACAGCAAGTCTTCCTTCCCAGGCCAAAACCTTGGTGCTCTCCTTGACTCCTCTCTCTCTCTCTACTTCATGTCTGGCCTGGCAATAGATCCTGGCAGTCTTTCCTAAAAAGCATTTCCAAAATCCCACCGCTTCTGGCCACCACCCGAAGCCACGCCCCGTCACCTCCTCGGATTCCTGCTAGCGCCTCCCGACTGGTCTCGCGCTGCGGGCCCTGCCCCTGCGGCCGGTTCGCCAGCCGGACCGCTGCTTTTCAACGAGGTCAGACGAGTCCTCCCTCCGCTCCGAGCCCCGCCGGGCTTCCCTGGTCACGCAGGAGAGAAGCCCAAGTCCTCGCTGGGGCCCATGCGGCGCTCCCACACCTGACCCGGCCCGCTCCATCGCTTAGACGCCTCCTCCACGCTGGCCTCCTGGCTTTTTTCTGGAACAAAGTAGGTCCCCAGACATCTCTGCAAGGCTGGTTCACTCGATTCCCTGGGCCTTTCCTCAAAACTCACTGTCGCCTTCTCAGCGAGGCTTCCCCGGTCACCCCTGTCCAAAACCTCCCCTCCCCTAAACGCGCATCTCAGAGCTCCCGTCCCTGCGCGCTCTCTCTCTCTCTCTCTCTCTCTCTCTCTCTCTCTCTCTCTCTCTCTCTCTCCTTATTACCACGTAACGTATTATTTTATGTCTGTTCTGCCTCTTCTATTGCAACATAAGCTCCCGGAGGGCAGCGGCGTTGTGTGTGTTTTTGCCGCTCCTCCCCCAGCGCCTAGAATCGTGCCTGGGACCTTAGACAGCACATATTCTAAATCTGAACCAAGGGATGAACGAGTGGCTTCCGGGCGGGGAGAAGAGCTGCAGCAAAGCCAGGGCGGCTGCTGTCCTCTGCGGGGGCCGGAGCCCCAGGGTGCGGGGGTGGCGTGGTCCGGGGGGGCCCTGACGCCTCCCGCACTGGACCAACCGCAGCGCCCGGGGCGGGAGCAGGAGCGGGAGCGGGGCTCCCCGTCGGTCCCCTCCCGAGAGGCCAGGAGAGGAGACAGGCAGGTGCTGCCCCCGCTGCACCGGCCCCGGGTCCGGGACACCCGGGAGGCACGAACGTCAACTGCGAGAAGCTGATGGCGATCTTCAAACGCAGGGGGAGATGGGGATGGGTTTGTTTTGCGGATCCTAAATGGCGAGGGCCCCGCGGCTGAGCGCGGAGGGCGGGCCCGGCTTTGTCCGGGGAGGAGGAGCGCGCGTCACATGACTGCCGGTTCCCCCGGACCCCCTCGGGGCCCGCACCCCCTCCAGTCCCCCGACCTCGCGGGATCCGCCATCCCCGGAACGGGGCTATGGGGCCGGGCGATGGGCGCGAGGCTGGGGGGGGGCGGCCGAGGCCTTGCGCTCCGAGCCGGGCGGGGGGATCCGGGCGCGCAATCTCCGGAGCTGGGGGAGCCGGGCGCGCGGCCTCGGGGGCGGGGGCTGCCCAGGGCGGCGGGGGCGCTGGCCCGGTGCGCGCGCCCGGGCGGTGCTCACAAAGGAGCGCCCTTCCCCGCGCGCCCGCGCCGCCCCGTGTCCCCAGCTCCCCCGCCCGGCGGCGGCCCCGCGGCTGCCCTTCATCTCTTTATTTTGGTGGAGGAGGGCGGGGCCTCGGTCCTGGGGACAAGGATCTTTCCAGGAAGTTTGTGCCTATTAATATTTCAGCTCCTGGCAGCTGCTTCCCGCGCTGGGGGAGGGGCGCGGCCAAGTTCAACGCTGCGGGCGCGGAGCTGCGGGGCCCGAGGCCTCCCGGGCGCGTCCCCTCCGCGCGAGGCGGGCAGCTGCCCTCCGGAGCGGTGCCCTCGGGGGGAGAGGCGGGCCCTGCGGCTGCAGCGAAGCCCAGAGCGAGGGTGCCAGAGCCAGGCTTCCCGGAGCGGGGGCGACGGAGGGCGCGGGGCCACCGGGTGTCGGCGATCAGCGGGCGGGGAGGGAGGAAGGGCTGGGAGCACCCAGGCTCGGCAGGCGCAGCCCCGCGAGCATCCGCCCTCCCGGGAGCCGGCGAGGGGGGCCCAGAGCCCCGAGGATGCCAGGACGCGCCTTCTGACCTTGGTTCGGTTGCACTAGGGGCGGGCGCTGCTGCGGAAATGTGACCCTTTCGAGCTCCCGGGCCCCTTGCAAGGTTATCGTGTAGCTGAGATGGTAACCTGCTCGAGGTCACGGTGCTGCTGCCCGCAGCGTAGCCCCGGGTTTTTCTTAAAAAAATATATATTTTATTGATTTTTTACAGAGAAGAAGGGAGAGGGATAGAGAGTTAGAAACATCCATCAGCTGCCTCCTGCACACCTCCCACTGGGGAGGAGCCCGCAACCAAGGTACATGCGCTTGACCGGAATCGAACCTGGGACCCCTTGGTCCACAGGCGGATGCTCCATCCACAGAGCCAAACCGGTCAGGGCTCGGTCCCC